ATAGAGGAAGAGAGGAAGGGGGGTGGGCAAGGGAAAGGAAAGAGGGAAGGGGAGAGAGTGAGAATAGAGAAAGATGGCGGGAAGAGAGGAAGGGAGGAAGGGAGGAAGGGAGGAAGGGAAAGATGGGATGGAGGAGGACAGAGCGTAGAGGAAAGAGGTAAGGGCAAGAAGGAGTGAAAGGAGGCGAGAGAGGAAGACGGAAGGCGGGAAAGGAGGGAAGTAGGCTAGAAGGAGATCGCAAGGGGGGGAGGGGGAGAGGGGTTTGAAGCCCTATGCGATGGTGTCTTCAAAGCCCGGAATTAATTGGATAGTGGAGTAGTTTCGAGAAGGTCCGCGACTAATTCGGAAGTCGCTTGATACGTTAACGGTGTAAGGATGGAGGGGGGGGTATCGAAGGAGAGGGAGGGGAGGGGGGGTGCCTGAAAGTGCGTCTGTTCGAAGGTACGTGAATTTTGAGGTGATTTCACGGATGTGGCGTTTTTTTCGCATTTAGAGTTAAGAACAAATATTAACTTTAATTTCGATTTTGCTGTATGATCATACTTTTTCATTACAAACATGGAGTACTGTACGCTGTCCATGGAATAAAATAATAACCACAGTAATAAGTTTAACAATTTCCATAATAATAATATAATTAATAATACTAATGATAATAATAAAATAATAACAATAATAAAAACAATAATAGTAATAACTATTAATAATTTAAAGCTAATAATAATAATAATAATAATAATAATAATAATAATAATAATAATAAATAATAATATCAATAGTAATAATAATAATAATAACAATAATAATAATAATAATAATAAATAATTACAATAAAAACAACAACAATGATAACAACAATAATAACAACATCCACAATAAAACAATAATCACAATAATAACCACAATAGCAAAATGTCACGACCCAATTCCCTCGCAGCGGGACTCCAGATTAGCCCAATCAACATTCCTGACGGGCTGTCGCTTCCAGACGAGAAAAGAAAGGGGAAAATAACAACACAAAAAAGGAATAATAATAATAATAATAATAATAAAAAGCAGGGAAAAAAATGAAACGACCCTCCCTCCCCCCTCCAAAAAGAGAGAGAGAGAGAGAGAGAGAGAGAGAGAGAGAGAGAGAGAGAGAGAGAGAGAGAGAGAGAGAGAGAGAGAGAGAGAGAGAGAAAAGAGAGAAAAAATAAATAAAAACGTGAAATCGGAGAAAATCACTCGAAATAGATTTTCCTTTCACTCCAACCCCTCGGCTCCGTTTTCTTTTCACGGATAAATAGATTGGCAGTCCTCGGCTCCGTTTTCTTTTCATGGATAAATAGATTGGCAGTCATAGCTGTGCGACAGATTGATATATGGATTCTAAAAGCAAAGTACTCAATTGCGAGGTAAAGACATTGTGCTAGATTGATATCGTAAATGCAACCTTTATTCACATTGTTAAATAGACTGACAATGTCACAGCTATTCGACAGATTGATAAAAAATCTCAATAAGTTATTAAACTGACAGGTAAAGATATTACACTAAAATAATACTGCAAATGCATTTGTTATTTTGACTGATAAATTAAATAGCAATAGAACAGCTGTTCGACAGATGGATAAACAGCAGTTATTAAACAGGTAATAGGTCTTTAAATTACCTTTGTAAACACTACAGTTATTCTGACAGATGAATAAATAGAAAACGTAACAGATATGCGATGGATTTTTAAATAGTAAATGCTATATTTTTTGCAACTATTAAATAATCTCTGTGAAAATTGCAGTTATCCAATACATAAATCATTATTGTAAATGTAACAGTCAAACAAATACATTTTTTGCAACTATTAAATAATGTCTGTAAAATCTGCAGTTATCCAATACATAAATCATTATTGTAAATGAAACAGTCAGACAAATAAATACATCGGATATGCAACAGGTAATCGATAAATAAAGGAGACTATGTAAATTCCACAAGGCTATATATGCGAGGTTAAACAAAAATGCACTTGAAAGACATTAAAAAAAAATCAACTACGGAAAGTGAAAAATCAACAAATGCACACCTCGGACGGTTAGGCATAAAAAAAGAAGACAAAATCTCAAATTCCAATTTCGTAGTCTGCTTCCTGACCCCCCCCCCCGTGGGAGACCGTGATAAGGTTGCCAGTGAGTGATTTTCCCTTCCATTTTTTGTGTGTGGGGGGGTCCTATCTCGTTCTTAGATTGCCCTTTGTCCAAGCCTGATTTATTCCTCCCTGGATCTCTCCCTCTCTCCCTAAGATAACATTTTCATTTTCGTCGTTCTCTCCCTTTCCTCTTATCTTTCCCTTCCTCCTCTCTCCTTTTACTTTCTTCAGTCTTTTTCTGATTTCATTCTCTCTCTCTCTCTCTCTCTCTCTCTCTCTCTCTCTCTCTCTCTCTCTCTCTCTTCTTCTATTTCTCTTCCCTTACCTCTTTACCTCTCACTATCCTCTTTCTTTGCACTTTTTTCTCTCCCTCTCCCCTTCCCCTTTCCTTCATCTTATTTACTTTCCTTTCCTCTCTTCTCTCCTTCTCTCTTTCCCTTAACCTTTTCTCTCATGGGGCCTTTCATTTCCCCAGCTTCATCTGAACTTTTTTTTTATATCTTTCTTTCTTTTCTATCTCCCTCTTACTTCCCTTTCTATTCGTCTTCCTCTTTGACCCCCCTACTTTCTTGGATCTTTCCCTCCTCCTTTACTTTCTTTGCATCTCATTCCATTCCCCTTTGCTTCATTTTCTATCTTCTTATTCCTTCCTTATTTCACGTTTTCCTTTGCCCGCTTCTTCCTTCTCTCTCCCTCTAACTTCCTTCCTTTTCCTTATTTCTCTTTCCCACTCTTTCCGTTTTACTCCTCTCTCTCAATCCTCTCTTTCTCTCCCTCATCCCCCATTTTATTTCCCTCTCTTCCTCCCCATTGTTCCACTCTCTTTTTTCCCTTTTCCCCTTTACTTACCCTCCTCAATCCTCCCTCTTTCACTCTCTTTCTCACTCTTTCCCCTTAACCTTCTCCCCTTTCCCTCGCTCCCTTTCTCCCCATTTCCCCTTACCCCTCTCCCCTTTCATTTCCTCTCCTCTCCTTCCCTCCCCTGCCCTCCCCTCAATCTCCCCTTCCCTCCCCACTCTCTCCCCTTCCCTCGCCTCTCTTCCCCCTTCCCTCCCCTCTCTCTCCCCTTCCTTCCCCTCTCTCTCCCTTCCCTCCCCTCTCTCTCCCCTTCCCTCTCCTCTCCTCCCCTTCCCTCCCCTCTCTCTCCCCTTCCCTCGCCTCTCTTCCCCCTTCCCTCCCCTCTCTCTCCCCTTCCTTCCCCTCTCTCTCCCCTTCCCTCGCCTCTCTCCCCTTCCCTCGCCTCTCTCTCCCCTTCCCTCTCCTCTCCTCCCCTTCCCTCCCCTCTCTCTCCCCTTCCCTCCCCTCTCTCTCCCCTTCCATCGCCTCTCTCTCCCCTTCCCTCCCCTCTCTCTCCCCTTCCCTCCCCTCTCTCTCCCCTTCCCTTCCTTCTCCTCTCCTCCCCTTCCCTCCCCTCTCCTCCCCTTCCCTCCCCTCTCCTCCCTTCCCTCCCCTCTCTCTCCCCTTCCCTCCCCTCTCTCTCCCCTTCCCTCCCCTCTCTCTCCCCTTCCCTCCCCTCTCTCTCCCCTTCCCTCCCCACTCTCTCCCTTTCCCTCCCCACTCTCTCCCCTTCCTCTCCCTTCCCTCCCCTCTCTCTCCCCAGAGACAAAGGGCCGAAGAACGAAGGGCGTCGGGCCTACTCACCAAACCATGCTTGCTGGTCCCCTTGCACCTCGATTGCGAGGCCGAAATCTGCAAGTTTGACGGCGGCGCCCTTGGCTTTGCTGGCCAGAAGGAGGTTCTCCGGCTGTGGGGGGAACAGAGACAGGTGAAGGAGACTGCTGTAATTGGTGCTTAGTTATTAAATGTTACCACGTTTTTCTTTCACATAATGGATACTGAAAAAATGTAAAGGAATGATAGAATATACTCAGACATGTGTTAACTACAACAAATATGTCTGTGTCAGTCCGTATGTGCCTGCGTGCATTCGTGTGTGTGTGTGTGTGTGTGTGTGTGTGTGTGTGTGTGTGTGTGTGTGTGTGTGTGTGTGTGTGTGTGTGTGTGTGTGTGTGTGTGTGTGTGCACGCGCTCTCTCTCATAAAAAAACATTAGCAAACAAAACTTTTTTTATGTTAAATAAGTTGAACATTAAACTTTGCTTTCAAAACTAGACAAGGTTAGCTGACTTTTATTAGCAAATTGCAAAATACAACAAGAATAAATTATTCTCAGAATATTTTTTTCTTACTGTAGACCTCACTCAGTTACATTAAAAAAAATATTTATACTTAACATTCGTATAACTGGGGAATAAGCATATAACATATAATAAAGACAATACCAAAGAAAACAAAACAAAACTTGGTGACTTCAACTGTTTGTGAGTAGTGATCCGAGTCTGTCTGTCAATGAACACGAATAAGACAAACGAGCAGACAGTCTATGAAAATGAGTGAATGAGTATGTATGAGTATTCGTCACTAGTTTCATTCTCGTTTTCTCACGTCTAGCATTATTCTTTGTATCTGTCTCTGTCTGTCTGTCTGTTTCTCTTCATCTGCACCTCTCTTTCAAAAGCTATCCTCTCTTTCTTTCTTCCTTTCTTCTTCTTTCTTGTTCTTGCTCTCTCTCTCTCTCTCTCTCTCTCTCTCTCTCTCTCTCTCTCTCTCTCTCTCTCTCTCTCTCTCTCTCTCTCTTTTCCATCTGTTCCTCTCTCTCATTTAATCCGCCCTTCTCTGCCTCACTACGCATCTTTCTCTGTATGCCTGCCTGCATGTCTGTCTGTCCCTATCTGTTTGTCTCTCTCTCTCTTCCATCTGTTTCTCTCTCTTTAATTCGCCCTTCTCTGCCTCTCTGCGTATTTTTCTCTGCGTGTCTGCCTGACTCACTCTCTCTCTTTTTCAATCTCTCTCTCTCTCTCTCTCTCTCTCTCTCTCTCTCTCTCTCTCTCTCTCTCTCTCTCTCTCTCTTCCATCTGTTTCTCTCTCTTTAATTCGCCCTTCTCTATCTCTCTGCGTATTTTTCTCTGTGTGTCTGCCTGTCTCTCTCTCTGTCTCTGTCTGTCTGTCTGTCTGTCTCTCTGTCTGTCTGTCTGTCTGTCTGTCTGTCTGTCTGTCTCTCTCTCTCCAGAAATCCCTCGAGGAAGGTGCAGACGAAATGCAATCAAAATTCCCATGCATCTTTGATCTTTAGTTCGGTGTGCATGACTGCGTGTGCGTGTGCGTGTTTATGTTTATGATGTGGATAAGGAATAAAACGAATAAAAAGATAGATAAGAGAGATAGACAAGACAGATAAGGAGATAGATGGAAGAAGGCGGCGGGGAAAAAATATCAATAAAGTAAAGAAATGGCGACGAAGGAAAAAAAAGAAGGAAGAAGAAAAATAAAACAGAACAAGATATAGGGAGACGAAACAAGAAGAAACAGAAGAATAATAATCAAGAGTATACTGATGAAACAGTAGTAAACGAAGTGACGAAAAGAAAGAAAAGAAAATAAACAAACAAACAAAGAAGAAAAAAAAACAAAACAACAACAACATCCAATGGCCTCACCTTTAAATCCCTATGTACAATATTATTATGATGACAATGATTTACACTTTCTAAAATTTGTTGAATACAATGTGAAGCGTCGGCCTCGCTGTAGAATTCTCGGGCGACGATATCCTCGAACAGTTCTCCGCCGGTGACCCTGGGGGGGGAGGAGGAGGAGGAGGAGGGGGTGAGGGGGCGCTCGTGTAAGAGGCGGTGGTAGTTTTTTTTTTTTTTTTTATAATGTCTCGGATTATTCTGTTTCTCTTTTTGTACTATTCAATTCTTTGTTTATGTAATTTCTAAAAAAAAAAATCCTTGTATATATTAATATTTCTTTTTTTGCGTTATTTATTTTACGTCTTTGTTTGTATTAATATTTTTATATGATTGTTCTGGATATATTCTTGTTATTTTTCTAAATATATTTCATTTCATTTTTGTTTACGTTATCTTAACTATTTTCATCGTCATCCTGTTTTCAATATTATCATTACAAAAATCATCTTCATCAATAGTATCGTTACAATTGTATCACTACAAATATTTTTAATCTCTGTTTTCATCAGCAGCTTAATTGACTGAACAAGATTTTCTTCTCTTCCAATATTTTTTTCACATATATTAACCATCATTTCAGCTCTGATGATTTTCCTTTACACATTCTATCCTTCCGATTTTACTTCAAACATATAGGAAACCTTAACATCTCCAGCCTCCAAACGTCACCAGGCTCCAAGCTGTCGGGCTAAACGCGTCACAGCCACAGGATTATCATTACCCTTAACCAACGCAAAATAGCGTGCTGTGACTCCCCTGCCTATCTTTGGAAAGTTGCGTAACAGCATTAACCTATATACCGTGACGTGCTGTTTTGACATCGCAATCGGGCTCCGCTGTTTTACTGTTGCAGCATCTGGATTACCTCGCCGCGCCGGGGAAAGTTGGAACAAGGCAATGGAGACCCGAATCGCCGTCAAGAAACAGCGTATTGCAACCCCATGAGAAAATAATGAAATAACCACACCACTTGGACGTACCCAATACATCACAATAGTGCAAATAACAAGACTTTTCTAAATAAAAGCAACTTAATTTCTAACTTCTAAGTATATATTTTGTTCATACTTCTTGGCGTGATAATACCGAGTATAATCTAAATAACAATAAATCAAACGCCACTTACACGTATCCGATACATAACAATAATACAAGTAACAAGACTTTTCTTAATAAAGTGCCGTAGTTTCTAACTTTCAATATATATTTTGTTCATACTTCTTCATCTGCTAACACTCATCATGGTCTTATTCAAATTGACAATCAACTAAACGCACTGCCTGAAAATACTAAGTATATCACAATGCCACATGTTCCAAGAGTTTTCGAAATACACGTAATCTAGTTTCTAAATAATGAGCATAAATCTTTTTCCTCACTTCTTGGTGTACTAAATCTTAATGTGAATGACCTTCTCAAAATAACCTCACGCTTACCTAACATATCACAAAACAGACGTAACCTACTTTCTAAAATACAGTATGAATAATAATCTTCACCCTTTTATGAAGTACTAATACTCACTATACTCACCAACTCGGAACACCAAAAAATAAAAATAAAAATAAAATAAACACACCACCTAAATATACCTAGCTTATCACAAAAGCACAGAAGACCAATAAACGTAACCTACTTCCCAAAACAAAGAATATGAACGTTCCTCTCCATAATTTCTCATTGTGTACTAAGACTCGTGAATGAGAACGTTTTTCTCCATAATTTCCCTCCGTGTACTAATACACGTTATGGAGGACGTACCCACGGCGAATGAATACTCACAGATCAAAGACGAGGTAATGGAACGATTCCTCCTGTATACTATCATGCAGACGAACTGGAATAGAAAGAGAGAGACACAAAATTAACATGTGGCGTCGAGATACATGAATGAATGAATGAATGATTAAATAAATAAATATCATAAGTAAATTAAAAATCAAAACATTGCTAAACATAGATAACGAGACACGGGCTAGAGGCAGAGACTAGCAGATTGGAAAAGTATGTAAAGAGGAATAAAAATATATAAATAAATAAAAAAGGAGGGAAAAAATCAGGACGTCTTAACAGCAATATGAAGAAACTGCTTAGCCAATCACCACGGGCACTTTCTCCCGTGTCTGCGCCGAGTGATTCGACCTTGGTGCGATTTTGCACATGCGAACTTAGACGCACGCGCACGCGCACGCACACGCACACACACACATACATCTAAACTCAAACGCAAGCACGCACGCACGCACAAACTCCAAGAGACACGCCCACTCGCACGCGCCTAAATATAAACCCGACTGCATCAAGCAAGGCAATGTGTTGCATCATATGTGAAAGTCGACAGCTCATCGCCCGCACAGAAATGCCTCCGCCCTCACCATGCCTCGCTATCGCCTCATACGCCTCGCCTTTCTCACCATCACTCGAGCCAAGCGTTGCAAACATCCCTCCCTGCTGGGAACTGTTGCGCCGCCGCCCTGTGCGCGGCCGTCTTTGTCCCTGGCGACCCCTGGCCGCGAAATCATCCAATTACGAAAAACAAACTGAAAATAGCTTCGCTTATAAACACATGCATATGCACTCACATACAGTGTGTAGATATATGTGTGTGTATATATACATTTATATGTATATATATACATATACATATATATAAATGTGTGTATACATGCGCGTGCGCACACACACACACACACACACACACACACACACACACACACACACACACACACACACACACACACACACACACACACACACACACACGAAAATCTAAACCCACATATTCTTTCAGTCACTAGATGCAGCAGGCACACAGACAATGACTTATAGACTTCCAGTCGATACAAAAAAGGCCTCGGGTGTATCTAAATGCAAAAAGGCAAAAAGTAGAGGAGCAGTAAAGTAAAAGTAAACCATTAACATGTTAAGACTTTTATCCCTCCTGCCACGGCTAATGCAGGTGGGAAAAAATAACGTGAATAATATACACTACAAAAGCCAGGACGGTACACAGGCGTACACAGACGCAGGCACACACAAGCACGCACACACAAACAAACACACACACACACACACACACACACACACACACACACGCACACACACATACACACACACGAGACAGACAAGGGACAGAATCTGCAAGCGAAGAACGAACGAGGAAACAAAACGGAATAAAAAAGAAAAGAGGGAAGAAAGGCATAAAGAACAGGCGAAAGAACACTTACTTAACCCCCATCCCCCTCCCCCTCCCCCCTCCTCTTCCTCCTCCTCCTCCTCCTCCTCCTCCGTTCCCTCCCTCTTCTTCTCACCCATCTTCTTTCTTCCTCTTTTATCCCCTCCCTCTTCCCCCTCCTCTCCGGTCCCATCGTTCCCCTCTTTTTTCCTACCTTTCCTCGGAATAAACAGAAAAGGGAATAAGAATAGAGCCAATACGGAGGTGAAAAAAAAAAAATCAAACGAAGAAACTGGCTCTTCCGCAAAGAGTAAAAAATGACAAAAGACGCGAAAAGAAGGAAGACAAACACGAGGAATCCTCAAAGAAAATCAAACTGAAGTGGGAATCGCGCTCGACCCTGGAAATCTAGTGAGGACTCTCGGACCCCACCGCCCCTCCCCCCCTGGACTCTCTGACCCCTCCCCCTCCCCCTGGACTGTCGGACCCCAACGCCCCTCCCCCTGGACTGTCGGACCCCACCGCCCCTCCCCGTGGACTGTCGGACCCCAACGCCCCTCCCCCTCCCCCCATGGACTCTCTGACCTCTGACCCCTCCCTCCCCCCTGGACTCTCTGACCCCACCGCCTCTCCCCCCCTGGACCCCACTACCCCCATCGAATCTCTGGGACCCCACTGCCCCCCCCCCCCTACGAACCTCTCGGACCCCCTCCCCCCTCCTCCTCCCCCTCAACCCCACGAGAAAAAAAATGTGCCAAATCCCTTCACAGAAATCGCCAGGAACGATGGAGGCGAAGAGGAATTATCCAAAGGGAATGTGATGGAATGGAGGGAAGGGAGGGGGGGGAGAGGGGAACGGCGAGGGAAGGGAGGGAGGGGGGAGAGGGGAACGGCGAGGGAAGGGAGGGAGGGGGGGGAGAGGGGAACGGCGAGGGAAGGGAGGGAGGGAGGGGGAGAGGGGAACGGAGAGGGAAGGGAGGGAGGGGGGAGAGGGGAACGGCGAGGGGAGGAGGAAGGGAGCGAGGATAAGGTAAGGGAAGGGGAGGGAGGACGAAGAGGAGGGAAGGAGAGGGGAGGGAGGAGGAGAAGGAGGAGGAGAAGGAGGAGAAGAAGGAGGAGGAAGGGGACCGGGAAGTGATAAGGGAAAAGAAAAGACGGAGGG